TTTTTCTTTGATCTATTAAGGGATATAATAAACTTGTGCCCTGATTTATTGCATATCATATTTTTGCAACATTAAAGAAGTTATAGAAATTAATTGGAAATTTAAAAAAATAGTATCAACTAACAAGTGTTCACTAAGTGTATTGAACTAATTAACTACACAATACTTCTGAATAGTGTAGATTAATGTTGTTCTTAACTATAAACTTTGGTAAATGTTGATAGTTGTAGAGGGGCTTTGGCCTTGTGTTCATAGGGTCGCTATGAGTTGTGCTCGACTTGAAGCCAATCAACAACAACATATGAGTGTTAGATTTTTCCCATGGAAACGTTAAGAGATAAATTTGAAAAGAAAGTAAAAATCACTTCTGATGCAATATTTACTTTTGCGGTTATGGGTCACTTAACAAGATATATTTATTTTGCCAATTATTAATATCTTTTTAATGTTTTTCACAACAGACCAGTTGCTGACTGTGGAACATCAATTAGTTGTGTGCAAGTTGAAACTGAAGCTGAAAAAGATTAAAACAAGTCCACGAAAATAAAAATCTGACCTTGAGCCTAACCCACCTGAATTAAGTTTGAGGCACTGAACCCTACTTATTGAAGATCAGAGGAGTTATGGGTGGGATGACATCAAGGATATTATCCCAAGAAGAGAGCAAAAAGTCTTTATATAAATAGAGGAGAAAGAAAATACCAAAATAGATGTCAGAAGAGACTATAAAAATGGTGCTGGAGTGTGGAGAAGCCAAAGAAAAGGAAGAGTTGCAGAGGTGAAAGAGACGAACAGAAGATTTCAAAGGGCATCTCAAAAAAAACAAAGCTAAGTTTTGTAATAGAATGTGCAAAAAGCTGGAGTCAGAGAATAAAAAGGAACAAACTCACTTGACATTTCTCAAACTCAGAGAACTGATAAACTCTCAAGTTGCAATACTGAAAGATGCTGTGGGTAAAATCTTGTCACCAATGTCACACTGAAGCAAAATATTGCTGAGGATCACCCAAGAATGGCTAGAATAGTACATTGACAGATGTTCAAGTTGGATTTAGATATTGTTGTTGATGTCAGTAGAATCTTGACATAAAAAAGAGATTACCAGAAGAATGTCTATTTGTGCTTTATTGACTATGCAAAAGCATTTAATTGAGTGGATCATAACATACTATGGTTAATATTGAGAAGAATGGGAATCCTAGAGCACTTGACTGTACTCATGTGAAACCTATACCTACACCAAGAAACTGTTTTCCAAACAGAACAAGTGAACACTGCCTAGTTTAAAATCAAGAAAAGTGTGTGTCAAGGCTGTATCCTTTCTCTGTTTATATTCAATCTGCATGCTGAGCAAATCATTTTAGAAGCTGGACTCTGAAAAAAAATGGGGCATCAAATTGGAGGAAGATTCATAAACAATCTGTGTTATGCATATGATACAACTTTGCTTTCTGAAAGTGAGGAGGGTTTGAACTGTTTGCTGCAGAAGATCAAACTAATAGCCTTCAACGTGGATTATGTCTCAACAAGAAGATAAAAAATCATCACCATTGGGCTGATAGGTAACATTATAATAGGTAAAGAAAAGGTTGAAATTGTCAATGATTTCATTTTGCTTGGATCCACAATCTACATCCTCAGCACTGTTGTTATGTGCCATCGAGTTGCCTGGAACTCATTATGACCCTCTGTATAATAGCTCTGAACCCTGCCCTATCCTGAGCCAATCTCACAGTGTCTGACAGACCTAATTACATTTCTCCAGTCATTGAGTCAATCCATCTCATCCTGGATCTTCCTTTCCTGTACAGTCCCTCCATTCTTCCAAACGTGATGTCTTTCTCCAAGAACTAATCCCTCCTGACCATGTGCCCAAAGTATGTGAGATGGAGCTTCAAAATCCTTGCCTCCAGGGAGCAGCCTGGTTTCACCCTCTCTCGGACAGACCTGTTTGTTCTCCTGGCAGTCCATAGTATTTTCAACACTCCTCTATTACCACAACTCAAAAGCACTGATCCTTCCTCTATTATCCTTTATTGTCCAGCTCTGTGATGCATATCAAATAATTGTGAAGACCATGGCCTGTATCAGTCATACCTTAGTCTCTAGACTGACATCATTGCTTTTCAGAGATGTCCCTGGCAGCAGATTTTCCCAGTGCAATTTGTCTTTTGATTTCCTGACTGCTGGTGCCAAAAAGTTGAGAGTTGTACTGCA